GGTACAGCTTGTTTTGATTTGGTTAAATGTTGAACCACAAGCTGTACCACAACATTTTTGGGCTAACACACAAGAGACTAGGGCATGGTGAATCATAGACTTGGTATTAGCGATAAAAACAGGATAGAGACGGCGGGGACCGGAGCTAGTTGGCTGACGGTAGGTCTGTTGTACCAGAGACGTGGTACATTTAGCAAAGGGGTGACCATGACACTTAAAGGCTTGCGCCTCGAATTAGTCACACAGACGCAGGACAGGGTGAATAACGTCTCAAGTAGGACAGATGTGGTGGCAGGAATCGAGTGAAATAGGCTAACAAGGGGTAGAGCAGACAGATTTTACGCAGCAAGAGAGACTGGGATAAGACTAGGAAAGAGAACTGCATAATAGTAAAGCAGACTCTGATCAACATTCTTTGCACAGGGATGAAGGGGGCGGGGTGAGAACGACAGTTGGAGTGTGAAGGTGTCATTTCGCTCAAAGGATTACACCACACTATCTAAATAAACACGGTAAAAATTGTAGTAGTGAAGGCATGATAGGATGCTACCGAAAACGCGAATAACCCAGGGAAGAAGGGAAGATACCACAATTGTTTAGCGCACGTTTGGTCAAATGATCAAGGGATCATAGGGTCTAATCATGGTATTGCGGGAAAATTCAATCACAAGTCATTTATCACATTGACGAAATGGCATAAATACATATCATTTACTTTCCTTAATTATCTGCACAAAATATATCATGTAGGACAGAGCCGGCAATTCTTATTGATTTAGTGTTAGCGTGAAAATTCTGCAAGAATGAGTCTCAGCTCTGATGATGCTCGTCATATGAGGAACGAAAGCCCAGCCTTTGTCGCCCGAAACCTCGGAGGATGTCTCGTGTATTGATTCAACCTGAACGTCATATTAAGGCAAAGTGATTATAGTACAACGCAAAGCAACCGTCGCCGTTTTGTGGGATTGACGTATGAATCTCTCAATCATATACTCCCATACTAAATGAAAGTCTTCACAACAATCTTATCTCAGGCAAGTCTTAGAAACCCGCATTTTCTTTATAGAAATTTTAATTTGGACTACTTAACAAACTTTCCGATACTTACGGAATATCAAAGCTACTATTAAAGAAGTGAAAGTCGATTAATTTAAAGTTATATGAAACTATGTGGAGCTAATCAGTCTACCATGGAATATGCACTGAGCTATCTATTAATTAAGGTTTAATTTGATTCATGAGTGGTGGGCCTTTGGGATCGTTCCAATTTGTTACTGGACTCATTCATCATTTCTTTATCTTTACTGATTCTTATGCTATTTAGGTCCGCTATTCTTCTTGTCATGACTATACGCTTTGTCTGCCCATTCCACAAGAGGCGGCCACTAATGTGTCCGATTTTCTTGACTACGAGCGTCAACGACGTGAACTTGAGGAAGCTGGACTTCATACAGTAGCCCGAAACCTGGATCCGATTCGTCTTATAATTCCGATTGAGGTAAAAGTTATATTATATTAGCTTTAGTTAATTTTTCTGTGGTTTTTAGTTACAGTAGGGCTTTTTTATTACCTTGGAAATTCAGTTTATTTCTCACTTAGACATAGTCAGTTCTCTATAGGGCCTTTTGTTGCAGGACTATATGCTTCAAGGCTTCAGTCTAAGAACGCGTAGCGTCTAATTCAAACCTTTCCTTTCTGAACTAAACTTAAATTTCGATAGAGCAGATAGTAGAGTGATAAGCTACTAATAGCCACTATTTTCTTTACTTTGTTAAATTTCATTTCAAACAATCCTCGCTAACCCTTTCTCTAGCCTCTGATTTGCATAATTTAATGCTCTCCATTTCCATATCTCCCAATTTTTCATCTCGTTGTATCCTCTCTTCTAGGCTTGTCTATCAGCCTGGGCAGAAAAGAAACGGGTTGAAGACTTCGCCAGTCCGGAACTGCCATCAGGACAGAAGACATATGCCCTTCGGTCGGTCAGATTTAAGAACTTTCCTGACTTTCTCTGCGTTCAGGTTCGTCTTGTTCTTTATTATGTTTTTCGCAAGATCGGTTACTTTCAAAATTATGCGCTAATATGAGAAGTAAACCATGACGGAGACAACGAATAACATAGATAATAGAACATGATACTGTCTTAAATATCCGGACTTGGTCGAATCACTTCTAACCTGGTGCATAATTTTAGGCACTGCTACTTTTTTGTTTATTTAAACAATCTTGTGGGTCAACCCACAAACGTTGTGGTTCAGCATTGACCTAATCAAAGCCAGCAGTACCACAACATTTGTGGGTTGGCACAGAGGCAACTAGGGCATGGCAAGTCATAGACTTGGTATAAGGGATAGAGACAGGATAGACGAGGCGGCGACTGGAGCTAGTTGGCTGACAATAGGTTTTACAAGAGACGTGATACATGTAGGAAAGGCATGAACATGAGACTTACTCGTTTTCACCCGAAATAAGGGAGGAAGTCTCGTGGACTGCGTCAACATGAATATCGTATAGAAACCAAACGGCTGCAATACAACGAGGTTCATCCATCCTCATCTGGTAAGATCGACCAACGAATTCCTTCTTTATGCACTTTTATACTAAATAAAGGTCCCCCTAACAATACTTTATTATAGTCATATGTGAGCATTTACTTTATTGTTATGCCCACACTAATGATATTTCTTCCTATTTATTTCTTTAAAGCCGAACGTAGATAATTTTGGCATTCATTCTATTGCTTTGAAGTATCATCAGTTTTTGAGATAAATGAATATGGTTAAAACTTAAAAAGCTCCCACTCTTTATGGTTCATGCATTATTTAATCTTAGTTTAACTACATATTGCAACCACTGTTGTGCATTCTATTAGTTTGGACTTTTGATTACCTTGGAATGATTTCTTTTAGGATAAAAATTTATAGAATTTGTGTGGTGCCCTTTCAATTACATCTAATCTTCCGACTGTTGCAATATAGTCTAAAGATAGCTTATATTTTTTCAGAATTAACACATATTTTCCTAGACCTAATTCCAAGAAATCACACATTTATGGGTTTTCTTAGCTATATCCTATCATTTCTTCATTTATGCTGGTAGCGGCAAGTAGTATAGTTTGATCGAAGATATAAAGACCAAGATGGTGTGGCCTTTTTTGTGGTCGCACTCTCCTTTCGTTGTATAGAAGTTGTTTGACCTTGTTTTCGCAACTTGGTCATAATGGTA